ACCAAAAAATTCAAATACATTTGACTTTAACAAATTTGGCATCAAATGAAAGCTAAAAGTCTATATTTTCAAGATTTGAAGTCGGAATTTTATTTTTTATACATTTCGGTACCAAAAACTAGGATTATGTAATAATCCTGTTTTAATCCTAAAAATGTGATTAATAGTGATATGAAAGTATTCTACCAATAGACACACAAAAATATGTACTAATGCCATCAGTTTCTGTCATGAGAAAGTATTGGTCTTGAAAAACCGACTAAAACTTGTTTTTAACATTTTGCGTAATTTGTTTCGCTTCAGTGACTTCTAATATTTCAGCCTTCGAAAATGTCCTTCCGTTACCGAAAAAATACATATTTTTAATTTATTTTTAAAACTTGCAGTATGAATGCATTGAAAGTTATTGTGCAAAGTAAGTTTAGGTAGGCCTTCAATATGACATTATAACTGACACTGCTGTACTTCTCGTTTTTTAATTACAATTAATTAAATCACGTCCTTCCGTCACCAAATTGGTAACGGAAGGACGGTAACGGAAGGACAAATCGTATCTTTATCAAATGTTACGACATTTGCGCTCATGTTTGAAAAATGAAAATCACTGCAAATACATGCATGTATAATGAGCATTGAAAGGACATTCATGTGACCCACCTTCACAAAAGCGGTATAAGCAGGGCAAGGTGTTTATTACAAAGGAAGGCACAGGCATGTACAACATGTACAATGTACATGTACATATATGCCGATGTACCAGTACTTGTATATGTATGGAGTTGTTGCAGAAAATCAAATCATAAAGTTGCTGCCATCAGCATTCATGGACAATAGAGAAAGATACGAATTCTGTGAAGCCATTCCAGAAGCAAATTAAGTCAAAAATGAGATGGCAGAAAGTACCGGTACTTTGGGGCACTTTCATTCAATTTACATGTGTAAGACATGTGAGGTGCAGTCTTTGACAAATTATGCCCAAGTTAACAACTTCAGTTTGGATGTTTATAAATTAATTGTTACTACTCTAAATCATTGTAATTTGATTTCAAACATTGATTTTAGAGTTCAATTAAAAGCAACACCTAACTGAAGCCATCAGTTCTACCGGTAGATGTTTTTACCTTAAATGTACATGTAGGCTGGTCGCCCCCCCCCCACCCTTTAGGTAAACCTTTGAACCTACCGGTATTATTATTAAAAGTTGTTGGTGAACATGTAACCAATATACTCAAGTGTTCAAAACCTGTGTATTTAAACTTTTAAGGATTGAGGTGATGGGTTTGAAGTCTATTTCTGTAGTAGTCCTGTGTTCGTGAATTATGTGTTTTGGGTTGTTTTCGTTTTTCTTTTGTTATCATTAATTAGCAGGCTTCTATCTTTATCTCAATAGTTTCTTGGGTATAATTATTTATGCCAGGTCTGCATATTGTTGATTTCACATTCAGTTACACATTTAAGCAATTTGTTTCACTTGTATAATTAGTGTAAATTCACATTTTGTTCATGCTATAATTGAGTAAACCTTGTGTCCTTCCGTTACTGTCCTTCCGTTACCAAATTATAATCTGCTTAAAACGTTGTAATTATATAACCGAAACACTTAAAGTCAAATGAAAGGTGGTATAGTATAGATAAAGCTTCAGGGATTCCATTTCCTACCTTTAAAATATAATTGCCCCATAAAATTCACAGAGTTTTTGCAAAACGCGAGTAAGTTGGAAAACCCTTGTCCGTTTTACCGTCCTTCCGTTACCGACCTCATTAATATTCATAATTCATAAACAGGAGGCATTCATGCCCCCCAAAAGTGTGGAAAATGAAAGTAGCATTATAGCAATACAAATGTGACATATGTTTGCAGTAACTATGAACAGTGTCTGTGATACACACATTTGAAATTTTGTTTAATGAGTGAAAACGTCCTTCCGTTACCGTGGAATTGCCCCATAGATACTTTGGCAAGGTTCCAAATTGATGACGTCATTGGCCCGGAAGTTACTTCTATGAGAATTTGAAAACGATAATATTTTAAATTTAATTCTATCATTTGATTCATGTTGTATATCTTCGTAGCCCAAATAACGATATCCCTTACAATGTTCACGTTTTGCTTCCAAATACTGTGACGTCATCAAACCGGACGTCAGGTGTTACGAATACATACAATTATATTTTCCATAATTCCATACGTTATTTAGCTTCACAATGAACATTTATCCACTCCGAACTAAATCGGTATCCACTTCCCCGCGTTTTTGAATAATGACATCATCAAGCCAGAAATAACTTGTACATGTATGAGTACAGAGAATGTTTACTAAAATTAATCACACCGTTAAAGATGCATTTTTTGAAAGAAAATAATGGATTGAACTGGAAAGGATTTACTTCTTGATTCTTTGTTCTTACATAAACATATTCGTAACTCAACTCGGCAGTGTTTAATGAACAGATTGCCTGCCCGACCTCTCTGCGTTTGTAACAACAAATGCAAACCTCTAGTCTTTCTTTCTTTCTTTTTCCGTACGGCACATTTCCGCGGGTTTTCTCCTAAACGGTGTACGGTATGAACTTTCAATATATATCGACCCTCATCCGAAGTGGTGCATATTAGTCTGACGTCATGATGACGTCACCGGGTGTCAAATTACAAGCGATTTTAGCTGAAAAAGGGTCAAATTACCTTCACCTATAACTCTTGAACAAAATAATCAGTGATGTTTAAATTCTGTAATAAGATAAACCATGAATTGATGAACATTTCTTTTTGTGTACGTAAACTCACTTGACCCCTTCTTCCGGGTCAACCGGAAGGTTAAAGTTAGGTGAATTCAAAATGAAGACTTTAGCCTGAAATCAAAACAAAGCTAAATTTCTTCCATACAGTTTACGGTATGATCATAAAACCTAGTGTGAATTTGTACCACGTTACGAAGATACTATATATTTTGTTACGTCATCATGACGTCATCAGGTATCAAATTACAAGTGATTTAAGGGCAAATTTTGACGAGATAGTTTGCGCTATATCTTTTGAACTAAATATAGTATCGTGTTTGTTTTTTCGTGAGGTTGTAGACTATGCTGTGAGAAACAATTCTTGTCCACAAAACCGCTTGACCTTCACTTCCGGTGTTACCGGAAGTGCAATAAAAACTGAGTACAACTCAAAAGGGGAAGCATTTTACTACACACATATCTTGAAAGTGTTTATTGAGGAATGCCAGACACAAAACAGTGTGATGACGTCATCTTTCGAAAGGGCGCCCCCTAGCGGCATATTAAATAGTGTTTGCTTTCTTTAATTTGAAAACCATCCGTTAAAATTTCACAAAACCGCCCCTTGATATTCTTTGATTAACCACAGATAATTTGGCAAGGTTTCAAATTCATGACGTCATGAGACCGGAAGTTACTTCTATGAGAATTTGAAAACGATAATATTTTAAATTTAATTCTATCATTTGATTCATGTCGTATATCTTCGTAGCCCAAATAACGATATCCCTTACAATGTTCACGTTTTGCTTCCAAATACTGTGACGTCATCAAACCGGACGTCAGGTGTTACGAATACATACAATTATATTTTCCATAATTCCATACGATATTTAGCTTCACAATGAACATTTATCCACTCCGAACTAAATCGGTATCCACTTTTCAGACTTGAGCCTGAAATCAAAACAAAGCTAAATTTCTTCCATACAGTTTCAGTATGATCATAAAACCTAGTGTGAATTTGTACCACGTTACGAAGATACTATATATTTTGTTACGTCATCATGACGTCATCAGGTATCAAATTACAAGTGATTTTAGGGCAAATTTTGACGAAATAGTTTGCGCTATATCTTTTGAACTAAATTTAGTATCGTGTTTGTTTTTTTTCGTGAGGTTGTAGACTATGCTGTGAGAAACAATTCTTGTCCCCGGACACAAAACCGCTTGACCTTCACTTCTGGTGTTACCAGAAGTGCAATAAAAACTGAGTATAACTCAAAAGGGGAAGCATTTTACTATACACATATATATGTTGAAAGTGTTTATTGAGGAATGCCAGACACAAAACAGTGTGATGACGTCATCTTTCGAAAGGGCGCCCCCTAGCGGCATATTAAATAGTGTTTGCTTTCTTTAATTTGAAACCCATCCGTTAAAATTTCACAAAACCGCCCCTTGATATTCTTTGATTAACCACAGATAATTTGGCAAGGTTTCAAATTCATGATGTTATGAGACCGGAAGTTACTTCTATGAGAATTTGAAAACGATAATATTTTAAATTTAATTACATTATTTGATTCACGTCGTATATCTTCGTAGCCCAAATAACGATATTCCTTACAATGTTTACCTTTTGCTTCCAAATACTGTGACGTCATCAAACCGGAGTTAGGTGTTATGAATGCATACAGTTATATTTTCCATATTTTCATACGTTATTTAACTTCACAACGAACATTTATCCACTCCGAACTAAACAGTATTCACTTCCCGTTTTTGAATAATGACGTCATTAAGCCAGAAATAACTTGTATGTGTACATAGAATGTTCACTAAAATTTATCACACCGTTAATTTTTTTAAACAAAATAATTGATTGTACTGGAAAGGATTTAATTTCGTGATCCTTCTTCTTACATAAACATATTCATAACTTAACTTGGCAGTGTTTAATGAACAAATTGCCTGCCCGACCACTCTGCGTTTGTAACAACAAACGCGAACCTCTAGTTTACCTTATTTTTAAAGACTTAATAGATGTACAAATTGTATATGCACAAGTGGATTTCTTGTTTCAATCCATAAAGTTGTGTTTTTGAAATTGTCCTGTCTGGAGATATATTGTGCTTATCCTTTAACATTGTCAGATACCAGTTTTCTATGTTTGTCATGGCCATAGCGATAGAAATTCATTGCAAAACCAGTGGTATCCAAACAGTCTCCAAAGTCAAAATCATTCTCCTAAATATCTGTCCGTTTCGTTTCACACACAGATTCCGTGACCCAACACCACCTTGGCAGCTCAGACCGGCCTGATTTTCAGAGCAGCAAGCTGCCCACAGGCCCAGCCATGTACCTCCAGACACTCTTCTCCAATCAATAGAAGTTCTACATGTACTCTCTTGAAACCTGCTGTTGCCACTTCAGCAAGCTGCCCAGTGAACTACCAGCTACTGAAAATCTACATTGGATCTGATGAGCCATCCAGCAACACCGATGTCACTTCAAAGACACTCCCCTTTACAAGTTTGATCTCGGCTGACTTCATGGAATTCTTGAGCTACACCATCACCATCAGGACTCACATGCACAAATTCACTTCCTACAAAACAATTATCCGAAGTCTTCAACTCTCCATCTATCTGTGCCATGAGATGTTTTCGTTTTTCGCTTGGCACACAAAGGACTTCAGCTACTGCCTAAAGAACCTTGGTTTTCTCCACATGGACTGAGACGAACCTTACACTTGAGCCATGTGCCTTCCGCAGTCACACCAAATGTTTGAAAACCTGCTAAGAATTATTGACAGGAGAGATACATGAACATGAACAATTTATACATCAGAGGTCATGTCACCATCAGACCCGTCATGAGATCACATCTCAGCTCTGAACTGATCGGCAGAGGACTTCAATGAAGAGCTGTCCTCTGCCATCCTCAAAAACACTGGATGATTCACATCGACTGTTGCAATCTGTCAGAGACTTTTGGAAGAGAACTCTAAGTTTGAAATTGAAACCGACCTCTTTTGAAACAGAACTCTTTCGAAACGGAACTCTTTTGAAACAGAATTCTTTTGAAGCGGAACTCTTTTGAAACGGAACTCTCTTGAAACGGAACTCTTTGGAAACGGAACTCTCTTGAAACGGAACTCTCTTGAAACGGAACTCTCTTGAAACGGAACTCTCTTGAAACGGAACTCTTTGGAAACGGAACTCTTTGGAAACGGAACCCTGGAACTCTTTGGAAACGGAACTCTTTGGAAACGGAACTGTTTTGAAACGGAACTTTTTTGAAACGGAACTCTCTTGAAACCGGACCCTCTTGAAAAGGATCGCTTTTGAAAGAAGAGTTTATATTGAAGAAGTAGAGGTCTCTCTTTCCCCAAGGTCACTGCAGGTCATTAGAGGTTACCTCTGTGACCCTGTATGCAGAATGGGTTGCCAATCTTCAAAGTCTTGAGTCTTGAAAAAGCAGACACAAAAATCTTTGATCACAGTATTTGATGATGAATAAGTTATCACCTTGTGCAACAGCTTTGAACAAGTTCTCGAAAATGTTGTCTCCAAAAGAATGTTATCCACAATCCGTCAACACTAACTATTGTTTCTTTGTGGATCCACAATTGATGCCATTGGTTTAGACAAATTGAACCAAACCAGCACCAAATTGAACCAAATCACGTAAAAATGGAGGAGAGACCTCTACACACTTGCACGTAACCAGCTTCTCTGTGCGAACTTCTTCAGGCACTGAATAGATTTTTCCTTAAATCGATTTCACTGACTTTATTCAGTGGCCCAAATTACTTGCATAAACCTGCAACTGTTCACAGGACTTTAGTCACAGCGCTGCATTTCATTTTCCTAATTTCTTGTTCTTCCAAGTGCATTTGCACAAAAAACAGAAATGTCATTCTGTTTAGAGACAGATTCACTCAACATTTACTCAAGCGAAGGGCTGTTCAATAATTGCAGAAAGATATTCCCTCAAATATTTTGATGATGCAACTTTCAGTGCTTAAAATAGAGAGAGCTAGTTACGTTAAATTGCTATTTTAAACTGAAATTTTTCTTAATGGCATTGCCTGATTGGTAATAGCTGGGTGCAAGATTGGTTTTCCAGGAACAAATTTGTTAAAAACTCTGTCAACTTACAATGCTATCCTTCTTCTTTGAACTAAATGTTTCCAGTTACCAAATTCAGCCCAAAATCTCTCATTTGGTGAAAATGAATAGCTTTTTGAGACATCCAAATTTGTAAATTCCTTACAAATCTACATCGATCAAATGAAAAACATTATTTGCTTTTAAATTTGAGAAACGGCTTGTAAAAAAAAAAAAAAATGGAAAATGATACACTTTTAAAGCTATCATAAGTTTAGCTGTCAATTACCACTCCTACCAATCTTGCAGCCAGCTTTTGTTTTCAAGTATAGTCAGCACTGGCACAGTTTTTTGAAACAAAATTTTGAAATCGAAACATTCCATAGGATTTTGGTTTTAGTCACATATTTTCCAAAATGAACAAGTCTTTCATCCCTAATTTATATTTCAAAGTTAAAACATTTGCAAAAATGCTATTCAAATTTTTTGCGTGAAATAACAATTTACCTGGTGTTACTGTGAACACACCTCTTAATTAGTTCATGTTTAATACCTCGAAAATTGGAATCTTTTGAAGTTCATTTACTAAGCAATATCGACAAAGAAAACCAAACAGATATGAGTCTGAACCACATTCCGAATGCAAATTGGAAAAAAATCCTCGAACTCAAAAGAAAAGAACCAAAGTTTTAGTTCCAGTGCTGGCTATCCACGTACATGTAAATTCTTTTATGATAATTTGTTGAGTAACCCATCTATACTTGACATTTGACCAACAGGCAATGTTCTGATACACTTGAGCCCAACGCATGCAAGTCCCCCCGGGGCGTGCACGTGTGGTGTTCCCCGCCCGCAGATGCCGGCTCGTCTGGTTGGTCGTCCCTATCTGCATTGACGATTGGTCTTTTGTTCAAGGTGTGTGCTAGCTTCCTGATCTTGTGGTCTGGGTGATCGTGGATGACTTGGTCGACTTCAACATGGTAAGGATCCTTTTGAACTTTGACAATTAGTTTGCCTTTCTGCAAAGGAGATGTTGTTTTGGCCGTTTCTTACCGAGTGTTGCTGTGGAAATTATGTACCATCTATCACTCTGGAGATTGCAAATCTAGAGATCAATCGAGCATCTACTCTTGATGTCTTACTTGCATTTCGTTAGTTCCATGGCATCATGTTGATCCAAATGATCTGCTAACAAATGGATACTGTTGTTGGTACCTCTGATGTTCTTCAATGTGATAGGATTTTTGGACAGGTGTTTCAGCCGCTATTTATTTGAATAACTTCCATGGTATAACTCTGAAATCTCATTGCCTTTTATTGTGTTGACATGTTCATTCAGTTCTCTCATAGAGTGTGGTCAAATCTCAGACATGCACAGATAAACATCATGTGGAAATCATCTGATAAGGAAATCAATCCAAATTTAATGAAATCATGCCAATTAAAAGTAAAAATCAAAATTAAAAATTGCGCAAGTCATAAATAAAATGTAAATTTGCTCGTAAATCAGCATCTAATGCATAACTAACTCTGGTTTTTACCAAAAGAAAAATAAAACTTTAAAAAAATGAAATGAAGTCCTGAATTCAAAGCAACTTAAATTAATTTTCAAAAATCACTTTGATCTTCAGAAAACAAAGCAGAAAAAAATATCTTGAATGGGCCAGTGCCATCATTTTTATCATCAGAAAAGCTGTAAAAAACTAAAACTGAAATGAAAGTTTGAAGTTGAGAAAAAGGATAGAAGGCCAACTCTTAAAACTGTAGGGGAGAAGTCCTGGTGTGCAGAGGGGGAGAACCATGCTGCTTCCTGGCCAGATGGAAGATGTGGTGGACAAAAAAGGCCCTCTGCATCCTAAAGACAGAAGCTGTGGTGTGTCAGGCACAGGGAACCAGTCCTGCCAGATGGATCCATGGTAAGTTTAATTGAAGTTTTCTAGAATGAATTCATGCACTATGTACATCCTCATTGCTTGCTAAACCTAATGGTAAAATGTGTATCTCATGGCTAGGAGTAAACGCTATCTGTCTACATTACAAGAAAACAGTATTGTGCATTATAGTCTTCAATCTGTGGCAATACCAATTAGCGTTAATCTGACACACAGAAGTGAAAGTTAAGAGTAATGTGGGTCCGTTATTTGTCATTCAGAATTAAAATTTGATCAAGGCAATTGATCAAATGAATCCTACAGTAATACAGAGATGCAACCAGTGCACTGGTGTGCAAACATCTCACTCACACTTTATGGACTGGACACTCACTGCAAGTACTCAAAGTGCTGCTACCCAAATCATGGTCGAATGTCGTGACCTCTGCACTCCAATCCTATGATTGGATAAAACCTTGAGCTTAAGCAGTCACTGCAGCCTCCTATAGATTCATCACCTACCTGATAGGTGGTTGCATGGGGGAATCCCCTGCCAAGTCTCTGTTTAACAGGACCCTTTTGTGATCATAAATTTGTGATCTGATATTTCAAATGCATTCATTTGCCAGCAGTGAAACCCTAGCATCCATGTGTGTTGTGAGCAATCCTAAATTGCAATTCACTTTTAGTGAAGTCTAAACTCTAGGTAGCAAAAGCAGTCTTTCTGTTTACAACAGAAAGTTGAGTTATTGATCTAGTTTTCTAGATTCAAGCGAGAAACTTTTTATGCAAAGTTCCCATTAGTAATTTGAGCAGCATAGTTTTGCTGCGTTCTTTCAGTGTGTTACTGAAACATTCATTTTCATATGTAAAAAGTTGAATATTACTGCCAAGGTGCAGTTTCAAGTGAGATATGTGCACAGTTCTCATAAAGAAGCCAACACAAATGTCATTGCCTTCTACCAACCAAAAAATCCAAACTGTTTCTCTTTTGTATACAAAGAAATAGCCTTTTACAAAAACAAAAAAAGACATTCAACTTTGAAAGTGATCTTGAGAGTCCTGAAAGTTCTTCACCTTAGCTCTAAATGTTCAGATCGTCAATATTATTTCAGTTGATGTATGTGGACATTTGTCCCCTGCCTTGTGGAAGAAAAAAATGTAAATATAGCAGCTGAAAACTCAGTTCAAAGAGAAGTTCACCTGGACTTCATCTGACTAGTCTCACCAATTAAGTTAGTACATACTCTGAAATTGAGCATACATTTTGTACATGTCAATATTCATGTACAACATGGCCTCAGACAGCTATAACTGAATCTTAATCAGATGTCGGACCATTTGATTATTTCCTGCTAAGAAGTCAAATCGATGAGTAGATTTTACAAAACTAAAAAAGGTTTGCTCTGAGTTGGACGAGTTTGGTTTCATTTCTCATGCAACCAAATCTGCAAACTGTTCACAAATCCTTCAAAGATTGCTGAAACCGAAAGTGATATGCAAACAATTGTTTTGTATTGCCAGCAAAAGGAATGCAATTGTTCTTTCTGGTATGACTCACAACTTTACAAAGTGAAAATTGCCAAGCCATTGATTGTAGCAAGATGGCTGTCTTAAGTACTGCAAGTAAGAACGATTGTGAAAGTAACTTCTAACACAGTTTCCAAAAGCATTTGTTTACAAACTATGATAACCTGATTCAGTTTTGACCCCAGCCAGACCGGCAATGTTAGTAATATTGCATGTTGGCATGACGGTGTAACCGTTGTGTTTCATTTTGTCAAATAAGGTGAAGATCTTTCAGGACACATGTTGGTATTGCCATAGACTGAAGACTAGCTATGCTCCATGCTTTAACCCTTTAGTGACCACATTTCTCTCAGTGTGCATTGCTCTTTGCAAAGTGCATTTTATGCAGCAAATATTGTGAGTTAATTGTCACTTTCCAAATTCAAACTTTCAAATTCTCAACTTGTATCTCAATGACACTCTGTACCTGTAGTGTTGTAAAATCAGATTTTGTAACCAATCAATTTTCATGTGATGCTGAAAAAAACTCTGCTGGTTGAAAATGTTTGTCCTGTGTGGCTACTGCGGACAATTCAGTTCTGGTCACCTCAGGCCACTGTGGTCACTAAAGGGTTCAAAACGTCCAAGGTTCTTTAATTAATTATTCAGGTCAGTTTAAGATCAGTTTTGTCTCAAGAGGGTCGCTAAAATGTACATGTACATGTAGGATAGTTTGTTGTGTTGGGACAGTTAATGTCTTTAAGAATGCAGGTATTCTTGGTGCTTTTGGTTATTGACAGAAATCAGTAATTTCAAAAATTTATCGAAAATGTAAACTCTAGCAAATTTTATTGTTTCATGTAAACTAACCTGAAGACTGTTTCTCAGAAAATCATCAAATTTTTGTGAAGAATTAATAGTCAATAAAACCAGGAGGACAAAAATCGAACATGAATGTGATTAAACTCTGACAACCAGGTTAAAATTAGGTCCTCAACAAATTTGCAAAATTCTATTCTTCTAAAAAGTCAACGTTTTTTTAACATTCAACACTTTATAATTAACAGAACAAAAACTACTTAGCAAAGTTGATAATAAGCAGGACAAGTTCTTTTCAGAACTAATATCTTGTAAGCAGTAGTTATTACCACATGGTGTTACCGCAAACCGAAACGATACCGATACTCCACCATGCAAAGCCTCAAATCTTATAACACTTTATGTTTCCCGTAAACAAGCCGGAAGACCTTTTCTCAGAAAATCATTGACTAGTTGTGCAGAGCGAATAGTCAATAAAACCAGGAGGACATAAATTGCACATGAATGTGATAAATGACAAATCATTGTAGCGTCAAACACTGATAACCAGGTTAAATTAGGTACTAAACAAATGTGCAAAAATTATAACCAGAAAAATGTTCAACTTAAACTGTAAGACACTACACCTAAACCTTTGTGAGAAACCTGCGACACTGACAGAAGTACAAATGCCAGGCACTTTGACTTAAATCTCAGACTTGATTCACATCTTATCGTGACTAAATCAGCGAAAGGACTAAAATCAGGATATGTTAATAACGTGATTAAATGAAATCAAGTGACTCGCATACTCGGAAAATATCAGTGAGCATGTGAAATTGAACTTAGTGCTAAATTTTAGTAGTATAAATTGTCCTTAGGAATATCGTCAGATACTTGTATTCTCCAAATAAATTAACCTTACTTCTAGAAAAGTTTGATAGGCAAAAGTCATGTTTTTATGGACATGTTTGCAAACAGAAGAAGTTGCAAATTTAATTATTTCTCTAGGGTAGAGTTATTTAAAACTCTCAAGTCATGAAAGTCCCCTGGATTCCTCTGCATATTAAATACACTTTATAATGTTAAGAGAGAGGATGGGTTTAGCCTAAAGAATTAGTTGTTAAACACGTGTACATGTAGGTTGTTCAGCAAATTGCATAGATGTCAAAGGTTGAAAAGTTCACATTCTGTCTCGTATGAAAAGGTCGTTATAGGCAGGCCCCAGAATAAATCTTGAATAATAAATTGGCAGTTTCGGTGATTGGATATCTAGAATAACAGATAATTAGGAAGAACGTTGTTTTGCAGTTCTGCATATCCATTGGAGTAAGTTCAGACCGTAAATGCAATTTACAAAGATAGCAATATGCAGTGAGGCACTGCAATTCTGTGCCACATATTCAAGGTGTCATACCTTTGTTGAATGTTTGACTTGTAAAATAAAGTCAGACTTTACAGGAAAGAAGGCAAAAAGAACAGTGAAAAAAAAACTGTGGAGAAAAAAAAGGCAATTCACTACTTAATGTTTCAAAGAAAACAGGGAAAAAAAGCTGAGAGATATGTAGATACCGGTAGCCTGCACAATGTATACAGGCCGGCCCATTGAAATACACTCATATTGAGTTTATACATGTACATGTAGACAATGTCCCGTGTACATGTACAGTCTCTGCGAATGCTGCAGGTACATGCAAATGATTTACAAGTAAGAAATTGTATGATTGATCTTTTTGAAACTGAAAACTAAGATTGGAGTAATATGATCCACTCCTTCATGGTAATGAAACCAAGAAAATATCTTGTACAGTATAAAATAATGTACATGTAGGTTTACACTTAAAAACGGTGAGGAAACTCAGGCTTTTTTTAACAAGGTAGGGTCTGACAATGTCGTGTTTCAGAATCCATTATCATCTAAGAAACTGCCATTTATTCATTTGTCCTGGGGCCTGCCTAGGTTTGCATGTGAGCATAAATATGCAATATCTGTTGTAATGTAGGCATTTAGTAATATGTTTACTCCGCAATGCCATGATACACATTTAGGTTTAGCGAGCAAAACTGATGAGGATGTATGTTGTCATTGTACAGTGCATGAATTAATGAAAACTTCAATTAAACTTGACCATGGATGGCGGGACAAGACTGTCCCTGTGTCATGATGCCACAGCTTCTGAGGATGCTGAGGGGCAGATTGCCACCACATCAACAGTGGCGTAGCTAGAATGAAGGAGGGGCCACAAGAAAACAGGAGGGGACAAATGGAAATCCCAGAAATGTTCATGTTGGGCAAACTAGAGAACATGTCTGTAATTTTGACCATTTGGATGCACATGTTCACTATACATGTTCTCAGCTACATGTATTTTTATACATGTCGGCCCCAAAAGGCCGAGTACGGAATATTGAAATCTTTTTGTCCAATCGGACAGACAGCCCCCTTCCTGTATCACATGGAAGGCCCCTCCCATCCCCATTTGCTACGCCACTGCAACATTGGCCACGGAACAGCATGGTTCTTCAAAAAAGATGCACGTCAACCTCCCAAAAAAAAAAAAGAGATAGAAATATTACAAAAATGTCCAAAACTCTTGAACACAAAATCTTGTGTCACATGTTTGTTTACAATATTGCAAAAATTGTGCCATATTTCAAATAATTACAAACACATGTATGGCTAACGTCAGTTTTGAAAAAACTGATTCGCTAAGAGTTTGGCCAGAAATCTTGAAAAAAAGAAGCATGTACTCAGTAACAAGAAAATCATCTGCACATTTTTTGAAAAGTTGGTTTTCTTTTTCAATCTAATTAACGTTGTAGCTCTTAAAATTCCCAATCAAACTATGTTGGTCAAATTCAAATTGTAATATTTGAATTCAGTCCACTAATTTAAAATGAAGTTAGTTTTCTTGAAGATCGATGATGGCACAATGAAAAGTTACTTGGACCACTTACTCTTTCCTAAGAGAAAAATCTAGTAAGATACCGACCGGTATTTGCTCATTTAAAATAAAGACTTCATACAAATGTCGGAACTTAGTACATCTCAAAGTGTGTGTATACTTGGCAAAATGGCCAAAAGTACAATATTTATCCAAAAAACTCAGTTTGAACAAATCAAGTTACTGCAGTGAACTGTTGCTTTGAATTTGGACTAGTTTGACTAAAATATGTTTGAAATTTTGCAATAATTCCCACTTCCTAATTAGAAAAAGACTAGTTACCGGTACGTGAAAATTCCAATAAATTTTCAATCGCTTATTGTAACATTGACTTTCAGGCAACCATTAAATAGTGCAATTTTGAGTTTGCACTAAATGTCTTGCAAAAAGTAGACGTTCTTAGAACTAGAAATAGTGCTGCCAAAAGTCATCAAAGTACTCGGAATAACTTTTGTTACTCCTCGTGATCATTCTAACATACATTTGTGAATCTGATGAAAAGTTTGATGCGCAACAATACATAAGAAACAACCTGCCAAATGTGGTCATGTTTGAACGTATAAATTAGTGAAACCTACTTGCAAAAATTATTTATGCATTTTGCAATTGACATTTACTGAATTGGTGTCAGCCTTTGCCAATTCACCTTTAATTGTGCATGTCTGTCTAAAGCTAAAATAAACTTACAATTACTTGTATAAATCTGACGACACACTCATGAGATGAACTGATTACTGTACATGTTGATGCGATAAACGGCAGGGAGATTTCAGAGTTATATCGTGGAGTTATTTATATAAATGGTGGTTGAGATAAATGCCCTAAAATCTTATTGCATTGGAAATATCGGAGAAAGCTGGCAAATTGTAATCTGTTTGTATTGCATTTCATTCAAAGGGATCAGAACCATGATGCAACAGTGAACAACGGAAATGTTGAGTGAGACAATCATAAGTAGATGTGAGAGAGATCTCTACTTTGGCAATTTTTGGAATGATTGTTGGTATACAATTTCCATTGCAATACTTAGTAATTGAAATGGTTAATACGGCATTGACTTTGTCAGAAAAGTAAACTGATTGTTAAAGTTCATAAGGATCCTTATCATGTTGGAGTTAACCAAGTCATTTGTGATTATTTGGACTTGCAAGTTTGGGGAGTTAGTGTGCACTAAGATCAACTGATCACGAGTTGATGTAGATAGAGGGCGACTCGCTGGACTTGTCGGTGTCTGTGGGCGGGGAACACCATGCGTGCACGCCTCGGGGGACTTGTATGCGTTGGGCTTTTTTTTTGGCCGGGCCAAGTTCAAGGCCAAGTTCAAAGCCAAGGTCAAGTTCAAGTTCAAGGTCTCACTTGTATTTTATTCCAATAGCAAATAAGTTTTTATTTCAAATTAAATAACCAGAGGGCGCCCTTTACATTAGAATATTTTTTCAAGTTCCACTTGGCACAAGAGGGCGCCCCCAATATTTTACAATTTTAACTTATTTAAAAAAAACAAGTTAAAATATGCGAAGGGCGCCCTCTTGTGACGGTTTTCATTTTAAAATTTAGTTTGTCCCAAGTGGGCAACCCACACATTGCCGTCTAAAAAATAAAGATAAATAGATCACAAGAGGGCGCCCTTCAAAAAGTTTTTAAGTTAAACCCCACTCAAGAGAGCCCTTCAGTTGGAACCCCCGCCCCCCCCCCCCCCCACTCTCCGACATCCAAAGGACATATCTGCTGTCTACTTAGATCAAATTTGCAGCAAGTCTTAGATAATGCGTTTGTTTCTTCTCGCAAACATAATTATTGCAAACGAAAAACGTGCCTTGAGAAAAAAATCTTAAAAATACAACTTAAATTATTCTAGTTTTCAAATTTCAAATTGCCAAATTTGTAATTTTTCCTTGAAATACTGAAATCCACGAATAGCTGGAAATTTTTCCGCTGTTTCCGCAGTAAATTGTGTCAAATTAGCCCTTCTTGTATACTAGTATAACCAATTTGTTTTGAATCGTAGCATAGAAAATATGGAATTTATCCAACAGGATGATAGCAATGTTCTGTGCTGCAAACTTGTACAAACTGACAGCAGATATGTCCAAAAGAAAAACACCATCACACCAAAGAAACCTCATTTTAATTAAAGTAGCAAATGAATCTACAATGGCACATTATAATATATTACCTTACCAATAAATATTACCTTGCCAAATACATTCAATTTGTGACTAAAGGCATGATATAAAAATAAAACATGTTACATTCTTTACCTCAATAAAAATTGGTCATGCGTTGTTTTTTTTTCTTCTCATTAATTGAACTCTTTTCTCTGATATGTCGGAAACAGATTCATTAATAGTTTATGTTGATATTTCATGATTTCAAAGTATGTACAGTCAACTCTCGTTAGTACAAACTCTGTTAATACAAAATTCTGGTTATAACAAACATAAAGCCTTGGTCCCGACTGTGCATTTATGTGCACAATGAATGGGACTGATGTTCCTCTTAATACAAAATTCTGATATAACAAACAATTTGGCTAGGTCCAAACGAGTTTGTTATAACGAGATTCGAACTGTATTTGAACTAATGGTATCACTGCCATCCAAAATTATCAACACTCCAGCAGTAAAAAGGATACAATGGCAGAGCTCAAACAGAACATCATCATATCAGAATTTAAATATTAATGTGTTATTAATATAATCTGCATTTATACCTCTGTTTACAATTTAACATTTATAAAACTGCCATATTGATAAATATTTATTGATCAATCATTATAATGTGCCATTGTAGATCTTTACAATTATTAAATTATTTTCAGCTTAACTTTTTTTTTCAGTTAAAGACAACTGTCCAGGCACATGTCCACAAATTTGTCTGGGAAAAAAAAGGTTTGCACAATTAATCTTATCTAACTTTCTGTTACGTGTCTAATTTTGTGAAAATTAAAAAAAGTTCCTTTTTTTAAGGGAATTAGTTTAACCAGTTTTAGACCTTCATTTTGAGTTACAAACACTGGGAATCAAAAATGAAATGTCTAGAGAGCATCACAGTTAACGCAATTCATAAGGTTTGTAATTTTGCACGAGTTCAAACTTTACGTCTTAACAAAAACGTTATAAGGAGTGGAGGGTTTTTTTTGGAGGGGTGGGGTTGTAATGTGCTTATCCTTATTAATTTTGAAAACATTTTAGACTTTTGTGACATGTGCCTGGACAACTAATTCAAATTAATCAATCATAAGAGCAAACCCTTGGCAATGGAAGTACATGTGCTGCCTCACAATAGTTGGGAAAAACATGAGACAAGATTTGAAGGAATGCATGGTGCAAAACCTCACAAACTCACAAAAGAGTTTTGTTACATGGTTCTAACTGCGAACTTTTCTTATTGGAAAAAGGTATATATTTTTGTCTGCTATTTCTCTTTTGTTGCTTAACTTTTTAGACTCGGAATATTATCTTGTATGATTGGATTGGAACCTCTCATTGCCAAGGATTTGCTCAAAGTTTATAAATATTGCTCCAACAGCAGCCACTTGATCCAGTCCAGCCAAGTCCTGTCAGCAGTCTTCCAAATGAGACCAAGGAAACCTCCACCAGGACTCAGCATCTCAGTCATGTGATCAGTCACCTGATGAGGGAAAAACAAATTATGAGCCATCAGAGTGTCCTGAACATTGAAATCAGGTTTAGATCAAGTTACAATACTTGCACGTCAAACGGCTGGTTTCAACACTGTCTAATCCTGGCAAAGATTTTTTTAATTTACTTGCACGAGAACTATTGCGGGAACAAAATGCATGTCTGCAGGAAATTGTGACTACTTGATATTAAAATAATCATAATATCAAGCTTCAGATTTTGAGTTAACGATGAAGTCAAGAAAATTATGATATTCATTTTTCTTAGCAAAAGCCATAATTATTCTTAGCACCACATCTGATTTCTTGGAATTTCTTTTAAATAGATATTCAGTAAAAGATACCCATTTTATGAATTTCAAATAAAGTTTTGAAACTTCTAATTAGCTGATGAAAGAAACTTTCAATCAAACAGTTAAAAAATAAGGGTCAAAACCAGCCGTTTGAAGACACCCTCTCTAATGTCACTAGCAATTGGGCTAAAGACATTATAAACACAAAAGATACACACATAGCTCACTTTGGTTGCAATCCCCACAGTTCAGATTGTTACTTTCAAACAGGGAAACTGAACCCAGGATTTAAAAATGAAAATTTCAATGAAAAAAATGTGTGCTTGTTTTGTAAAAACATTAAACAATCAATTTACTGACAGCGTGATACAAACTACCTTGAGAAGCCAAAATTCAACGTCTAGAAACTTTTTTCTCGAGTCGTTCAGGAAACCTTGCTAATTTAGTTGTAGTGTGCCAGGCTTGGATCTCAGGAATAACTTGAGCAAGGGGAAAGGGGGAGGGCAAGGGACAGGACATGATAGGTCTTTGATGATGGTAGTTACAATCAAGCAAGTCTTTAGACAGACGCAGTTGGGACAGGACATGATGGGTCTTTGATGATGGTAGTTATAATCAAGCAAGTCTTTAGACAGACACAGTTGGGACAGGACATGATTGGTCTTTATGATGGTAGTTACAATCGAGCAAGTCTTTAGACAGACACAGTTGGGACAGGACACGATGGTCTTTGATGATGGTAGTTATAATCAAGCAAGTCTTTAGACAGACACAGTTGGGACAGGACATGATGGATTTTTATGATGGTAGTTACAATCAAGCAAGTTTTTAGACAGACGCAGTTGGGACAGGACACGATGGGTCTTTGATGATGGTAGTTGCAATCAAGCAAGTTTTTAGACAGACACAGTTGGGACAGGACATGATGGGTCTTTGATGATGGTAGTTGCAATCAAGCAAGTTTTTAGACAGACACAGTTTGGACAGGACATGATGGGTCTTTGATGATGGTAGTTACAATTAATTAAGTCTTTAGACAGAAACAGTTTGAGGTATTTCGCCATCAACCGGGACGCAAAAATATTCCTGATATGGCAAGGAAGCCATGTGGAGTACCGTTCAAGACTGATAGCCATGCATCATTAAGTTGACAGAGTTAAAGACTGCATCAAAATTATCTTCTTAGCGATGACTCACCATAATTTTAACCCCCCCCCCCAAAAAAAAATGTTTAAAAAAATGTTCTTTTCACAAAATCTTACATGGCAGCCATGTGGATTTACCAGTATCGTTGAAGACCGATAGACGGCATCATTAAGTTGACAGAGTTAAGGACTGCATCAAAATTATCTTCCTAGTGATGACTTACCATAAACGGATAACACCCCCCCCCAAAAGAAATGTTCTTTTCACAAAATCTTACAGTTAATGCTAATGATTTATATTCTCTCAACGAATGCTTTCAAAATCCAGACATCAATGTATTGCAAAATAGGCCAAATTAGTATGTTCTAAATTTGGTTTGAAGAAATAAAACATTAACAGCCATCCACACTGAATTTGGGCAGCCAGTTGAGGCAGGATTCCATAAGGTAAAAAAATGGCATTTTTCACATTTTGAAAACAAACACTTCAAATCTGTTTCACTTTAACCCTAACCCCCTAGAGTGAATTTTGGGAACCTTCCTCACACCGGCAAATTCCAACACCATATGGTGAACACAAAAACTGTTGGACTCTGTTTATATCGGTGGTATTCCTAACCCCATGTACAGCATAATCAGTTTAATGGTACAGTACTCATCACTGTAACATATATATTCCAACAAACCCTGGTGTTGGAGTTTGGGCTGGATGGGGATTGTTAGGGTTCAAGAAAATAATTAACAATTGTTGACTGCTGTGGTGTGGGATATGACGTTTTGAACACCCGAGGGGCGCATAGCACCTGAGGCGAAGCCGAGGGGCGCATAGCACCCGAGGCGAAGCCGAGGGTGCTATGCGCCCCTCGGGTGTTCAAAACGTCATATCCCACATCACAGCAGTCAATAATTGTTTTGTTATACCTCTGTCTTGGATTCTTTGGACTTTGAAAACACGAAAACAACCGAATGTTAACTCACATGCATGTCGCGTACCGTGCTCGAAACAGCTGATGGTCAGCTAGTTCGCTGCTCCCACTCATGAGTGAAAACACGGTGAAAATAGCGTGGGTACCAACGATACAAGCATTTCACACTGTACGTACTGTACGTACATAATCATAGCACACTCCCTGTGGGAAATCACGTATGTGATATCCCACAGGGAGTGTGCCATGACTTTTTTAAAAACTTAACACGTGATCGTTCAAGGCCAATGAAAATACAGTATTCAAAACAGAGGTATAACAATACAAATTGACAAATGTTCACGTTAATATAAAACGTTTTAGCTGATGGCAATGTTTTCTTGCCATCAGCTAAGTTACAATTAAATACTATATAGGTAGTTGTTTTTATCATTGTGTGAAAAGTGAAGTGTTACACAATTGCATTTTATAATACTTCTAATCTAACGGTCCAAAATGATCAAATTTTAATGATTTTTCACACCCTAGAGGGTTTAGGGTTAATATAAAATAGAGGTACCCTAGCATAAAAAATACCGTATATTAAATCAAACATCAGCACATGTTCAAGAGGAACAAATAGCTCCTAAAAAATTTCAACTTTAGACTTTTTGACCACTCAAAAACAAACCTCAAATTGTAATGTTACAATTATAGCAGCGTTTTAATTTCAATACTGGCCCTACCACTGTGACTATGCCAACTGGGCTCCCAAACCGCAGTATGGGGTTACGCCATCTCCAGTTACCAAGGCAATAATTACCTAGGCAACACCCTGATGTGAGGTTTTTCCAAGGATCAGGCGCCTCCTATAATGAAATACTCAAAACGGCCAAGAACCATCTTTCACCTCTGTTAAAATACCAGAAACACAACATTATACCATGAACCAGCTTCAGAATATCCTTCTGGAATATCTTCGCAGATTTTTCTTTAATATTCTAATGGTAGATTTTGAGCAATGCAAGATCAACAACACTGATTGGCAGTCTCTTCTCAATGGTCGACACAGAGTACACATTGTACACAGCTGCCCCTCATGACCACTTTGTTTCTAACAACTTCTAGAATCCGGAATATCAAATTCTCCAGATATGAATCTTTCTTGTAACTGATCAGCTTTGACCATTCTGCAGCACCTGAAATCAGTTTCATCTTCAATGACAAACTTTTCTGGTAATCATCAAGACCAGTAACAATGATTCCAAACAGCAATCCACCTTCTTCACAACCAATCAACTTTATCTGCTATTGGTCAGTCCACTGTTGACTTCTAGCTGTTGTGACGTTCTCCTACTTTTCATCGCAATAGCAATGATTCAATGAACGATCCTTACTTTCATATTGTCGAAGGTACAAACATTTTCAATAGCAACATCTATGATCTGCGATGTTCCAAAATGATGAAGTGATTTTCCACAAATGTGATGGATAATCTAATCAACTATTGTTTGACCAGTCACAGACAGTCAAAATTCAATCCTCTTCCCCTGCCATGCCTTTTACACAGGCTAGTCACCAACAGTCAGATCATTATTTCTTATAGGCACTGAGACCATCAAATTCACTCAACAGACAAAATCAGGTAATCAGCTGGCTGATCAATCGCCTTCAGTCAAGGCACAGCTGTATCAAATTTCATAGCAATCACAGCCAGTCAACCCTGCTTTAGAGAAGGGAGCACTCAACTGTTAAAACAGTCACTTGGTTTATTTTGACTGCTGGGCTGGCCTTGTTGAAATTGCCAGCCAGAGAGGGAGGCTTAACATCTCATCAGATTCCTCCAGCAATTACATCTGCCACTTCAAATGACAGCCATCAACATTTATCAAAGCTGTCAGCTGATGTTTCAAACAGTGTTCCACTGCCATGAACTATATCAGCTTTTTTGGGGGTGTAATTCAAGAACTTTACGGATATACGCCATGTGAAGTAATGAACTCAAAAAAGGGAAGCATGGTTTAGACAACCAGAGCCATAACTCAGTGTTTAGTCGGTATTAAAAATAATAAGTTCTGTTTAAGTCATGCTCCTAGTCACCACTGGTGATGACAACATTTTGGCACTGGCTTCTATGATCAGTAAAGTTTCAAAACTGTGATTCCAAAACAATGCTCTTGACAAAGCATCACCCTTATCAGTGGTCATGATCAGGTAATTTGAAATTCAGTGATCATCCTCTTTATCAGTTACCAAGCACTGCTTTTCCACAACTGAGTCATATTCTAATCACTGCTATAATTATCAAATACTTAATTTCATTTGCAAGTTTCGCATCTTATCTCACCAATCACATATTAAATCAGTGAAAACTTCCATCAGTGAAACATATTCTCCATTAGTGACAACACTTGATCCTTTCTCATAACTGACCGAGTGACACTATAGCAATTAGTTGTCACTAAAACTGACCCATTGTCTTTACATAAACTTTCAATAGTGGAGGTCAATAAATAGATCAATTTTCTAACTTCACTTAAAGTTGCATTCCACGTAATCTTCACCAAATTTGTTTGTTTTACTTTTTGGTGTTTTTTATTTTTTTTAATATTGTATTAATAAATTTTCATCTTGTGTGTTTTATTCC